ACAAGTTGCCACAAACCAATTTCAAATATCTCAAATAGTAACAAAGTTAAAGAGGGTGCAAGTTAATTTTTTTGCCACCCTCATGGTTATTTGGATTTGAAACGTTTTAGGGCGCCATTTTGTTATTAGTGAGCCGATTTTGGTTTTCTTTATGTCAATATTTATGTTTTGTCAAGACCTGTAAAATGATACCAAACTCGACTATACTTGTCATTTGAAAATTTTGAGCTACCCCCTACCCCCGCTACCCCAAGGGCAAAATTTTCAAAATTGACCATAATTATTGTAGCCCCTCATATCTAAGAAGGTTGCCGCAAACTGATTTCAAATATCTCAAATGGTTGAAAAGTTAAGTGGGGGTGCAAGTTACTTTTCAGCCACCCTGTATATTGCAACAGGTCTGAATAGAAACTTCCTAAAATAAAACGAAAACATCCAATAAAATTCACATTACACATAATTATAACGTTGGTGTCCGGACATCATTAAACGAATCGTCCACACATATCCTTTATATCAATTTCACTGCATCAATCGCTAAATAAATAAGTGTAAACAAAGAAAAGTAAAAACAACAACATATAGTTTGTTTTGTAAACGGTTGAGTCAAAAATAAAATAATATTCATTTGAAAAAAATAACTGGTCACATGTTGAAGGAATTTAAAACGTAAACACGCTAGTAAAGCTAGTGACGTAACTAAAATTGTCTTTGTTCATTATCCATTCCGTTGTAAGTTATAATATCCTTGATAATTAAACCACCCTCATTGAATCAATGTACATCGTTATTCCCCATATTCATTTATTTAAACTATAAAATATCCAGCGCCTCCAAACGTAACCACAACTAAACACACGCCAAACAACTTTTTAGATTTCATCAAAGGATGGTTAGTCTAATTGCAGTATCCTAGGTCAATGATGACGTTGTGTTCAATCTATGTCATTCATCTGTATATCTTTGGATAAAATCCGTCTGAGGTTGTGGTGGTAAAATTTAACATCGTATTCCTGAGGATTCTTGATCTCCTGCTTTATGACATCAATATTTCCGGGCCTAATCCAAACAAAGTTTAGGCATTCAAAAAAATTGATTGTAAACAAAAAGCCACGAAGATGAATTAAAACATGTAAAAATTGTGATTTTCCTACCCTTTCCTAAAAAAGTTGAGCAGTAAAATAATTTGCATATCCTTTTTTTTAAGACTCGTGTACATAGCCTCGACTTGTATACATCGATGGTGTTACTTATCTCGGCGGTCTACTAATCTTACTTATTTCCTATAATCAATGACAAAATCAGAGTAAATAAAATAACCTCATTCTATAGAGCATTTTTATATCTAACCAGCTGTTAGTTAAAAAAAAATATATTGCACTAAAACAAACCGAAGATTACAAAGATTACTTAAAAGAATAATTTGAACATCCTAGTATTTAACTATGTGTATTGAAATAATCTGTCATCCTCTTATCGAAGGATTGAACGTGTCAATGATTAGCATTACACATAGTATAAATAAGTCAACCCTTAGCATGTCTTTTAATCTTATCCAAATGCTGAATTTGTGTTACAAACGCTGAATGTTTACAGCTAATTATGTTAAGCAAATTATATTAATACCAAAAGCCAGTTTAGAATCTTAGCGTCGGCTGCTAGACTTTTCAAAAATTAAAACTTAATTTCCAAAAAACTGGGACTCTAAACTAAATTTATGGCTTCTACATTCCCTAGTTCTCAAAATTATCTTTCTTTCAACACAAAAATCATGAAAATTCGTCGAGTGGTTGATTCAGAATTGTGAAATAAAAAAACCCTGTTACGTTTTAATATTATAGATGAGTAATCTTTAGGTGGCTTACCTCAGTAAAAAAAAAAAATACTGATATTCCAGTTACTGAAGCTTGATATTCAATGGGATGAGCTCACCTTGTACACTCTGTTACTTATTCTTTACAATAAAAAAAAACCCATGAAAGTAAGGTTATTCGATAAAACCCCCTTTGGAACTTGAAATTCGCCTAAAATAATCTACAATTAATTATACTATCTTACTAATAATACTTTCAATTTACTATTAAATTTCAACTTAATCTATAGCTGTTGTTTGTCACTTAAAAATTGTTTCGAAAATACTATTGAAAACATAGCATCGAGGAAAAGAGCAAACAAAAATATTAGTCGAGCTGTTGTTAGCGGCTGGAGGGACTGTTTAAGCAGCTTGTTTTCTTAAATGTCGCGTGCATTTGACAGAAAACCAATCACAATGTTTTAGCTGGTTACGTACATCTTTGTAAAAAGTGGGTAAGCTCGTGTTGTATTGTGATTTATCTTAGTTTAAGTGGGGATTTAGTCTTAATTCTGTGTTTTATACATAATTTGCCTCCAGGATTGATCTATTGACATAAAATGAGGTTATAACCCCGGAACTATAGTCATCGAAGACAATAGAGGACTGATTGACGACAGGTTAGTAACCTCATTTTATGTTAATTCTGTGGTTTTAGGTGGGGATTTATGATGTTGTAGTAGCCATGGTAAAAGATTTGAATATGTGAATGCGATGTTTGATTTTTAACCGACTTCACGACCACCAACAAAAGGAGGAGGTTCTCAATTTGTCTGTGGCAATGTTTTTTTTTTCTATGTATGTTCACCAATTTCTCTGTGATTCGTCTTTTACCGATCAGCGTGGTTCCACCATCAAAATAACCAGGGGAGTTTCTATTTGGTACCATATAGGTATAACATTATGTTTAAATGTAATATTTGTTTCGTGAAAAATGCTTAAAACCTAAAATATTCAACATTTATTTTGTTTATATTTGTGCAGAGAAGTCAATAAATAATAATAATAATATTCCGACAGCTGTTAGTTGAAACCATTTTAATGAAGCTACAGACAGTTCTTCATGAAACAGTTGCTTCGTATTGATTAATAATAATATAAAAAAAAAACAATGATTTATACCTGTAGTTATATATAATCGCCTGCAATATGGACTGGACATCCTATTTAAATGTAGAGTATGTTGTGTCAAAAATCATCATAGAACTGCGCCGACTTGAAATACGTGAGCTTGAATATTACAAAAGTTTTTAATTCTTTTTAGAGCGTTTGAAGTCGGGTTTGTTTTACATAAATTATTTTTCTACATTCGGCTACGCAATTTAATAGGACATTTATATAGTTTATTATTTGTTATTTTACAGAGCAGTATGATAGTCCTATTAAATTGCGTAACTGAATGTATAAAAAAACTGATAACTCGGTTGTTTGGAATTGGATTTAAATTATCTATCTTTTTGATTTGTAGAACAATTTCCTTAATATTTACGGTTTTCATGAAATTTGAAATTTATGATTTTCAATGGCCGCCATATTTAAATGGCTTGAGATATTGGAACGAAACTATCTAAGCTCTTTTTACCTACTAAAATACACATTTATTTAAATTTAGAATTTTCTATATCAAAAAATGCCCAAGATATGAAATAGTTCTTAAAAATCACAAACAGACCGACAAACAAAAATCTAGGCGTTTTCGACCCATACTTATGTGGCAGTTTATGTCTCTAAGACAAACGTGGCGGTTCCTGTATTGACAACTTTATTACGTATATCCATGTGGATCGTTTCTCCGCTGCCGTTGTTCCAACCCGTGTATCTGATCATGATGCGATTAGGATGCTACTGTGGACACAAGACCAACCACCACAGATGAACCTGCTCTTCCGCTGAAAAGAAGCAGGCCTATCAAAGGTTTCGGATTTACTTACTTCATGCATCTAATTAGCACTTTTAATTGGCTTATTTTGTATACAATTAGTGATCCTTCTGATTCTGTTGATATTTTCCTTTCATCATTTGTAGGGATAGTTGATAAGGCTTATCCTTTAGTGCAAAATAAGGTTAAGTTGGGTAAAGGCAATGCACGTGTTAACAAATGGTATACTACTGAATTACACAATCTTAAAAGCTCATGCATTGAAATTTACAGTTCTCTCAAATTAAGTGGCTGTGCCCATGAAGTTTTAAACTTCGCTCAGCGAAGAGTGAATATTTTTCTAACCTTGTAAATCAGTCTGCAGTTAGCTCATTGACCTCCGTAAACACTAAGCCTAAAGTCCGTTTAGGTAATAATTTGAAATTACCTAAACGCCACGTGGGCTAAGACTTAGCCCAAGGAACAAGTCCAGAAAATATGTCCAGACAATTTGGAAAAACTATGTATAATCTATACTACTATAAAAAACTAATTGTGCCTGTCTGTGTGTATGTTAATAAATCACGTAAAACTACGAAACCGATTGGGCTCAAATTTTACAAAAAAAAATGTAGCTACTGTTTTATTTAAGCTACAGTTGAGTGTAAGAACCTTATTTGTTTACTTATCAGCTTACATAAAACTCAGTGTAAAAAAAATAAATTCGTCTTTTTGAGTTTGGCCACCTCTGTGACTGGTAAGATTAGAAAGCGTTGACACACACTTGACTTGAATAATGAATAGGCAAAGCTCCTCCCCTACACGTTGTCATCGCTGCTGTAAGTTTCTCCCCCATTTTTTGTCCCTGCTCATTAGGACCTTTGGTCAGTCTGTATGTTAGAAAAGACCTTTGAACCATTGGGCAATCTGTATGTGGCCACGAATGGCCGATATTTATAGGCATGCACTGTGGATGCGATGCTCCCTGGTGTGGATTAACGTCCGCAATAGTGAGTACTACGACTATCCGCAGTACTATCCTGATAATTAGACCAATTCGTTAATTACAAGGAAAAAATGTGGTTCGGATTGCACTATAAACTCGTACTACATAAACTGTGTCCTCCACCATTGCAAACTCAAATCACCAGGCATCACTGCAATAAGCTCGTTACACCTACACACCAATGCCGTATGAGGACGGGTACACTGCTAGTACAGTAATGAAAATGTATGTATAAATCAGTCATTGAACTTTGTAAGCTAATCAGACAATAATGTTTGTTTCAGTGGCGAGTGGCAAGTGTTGGTGAAGACAGCGATGTGATGAGTCACTCTAGGTCCGCGAGTCCTTCACTGAACACGCTGGTGAGTCACCACTGGGCTTGTCCTCCCCCTGACAAAATCATAACTTAAACATTTATCTAAGCTTTTAAGATTCGAGGCAGTTGAGTACTTGGTCCTATAACAGTCCCAGTGTGGTGCGGTTTCGGCTCCCTGGACTGAAACATCTCGATATGTTTTATAATTTGCTTATGTCTGAGTAGCCGAGTGGTTACATGAAATCTGCGTTGGTTCGATTCCAAGCGAGATCGTTTGCAGACCCCCAAAAGGCATTATTTGTCATTAGTCTATGAATTTATAGTAGCAAAAACAAAATGGTCGACGTTAGATAATAACAAGACAAGGGTTTGAACAGTCTGCTGCTTTCAAAATTTGGCGTAGATACAGCTGTTAAATATTTTTTTTATGTTTTCCTTTTGCTAACTAAAATATATACAGTGTGTTTAAAAATAACTAGTGTAGATGTTGCTCGAAATCGAGCAATTACAAAGAAGTAAAGTTGTTAAAAGTAGTGATTTAAAATCAAATAGGCCTAACTTATTTAAAAACTAATAAATGTCATAATTTCCGATGAGTTTAAAAGACTCAAGTCATAGATTACTTACAACGGTTCCATATAATTGACATTTCTTGTAAATCTATATCTATTTACTTATTTAATACGCAAGCAGGTTTTTTGTGACAATTACTCCTCCGAAACTATTGAACCGATTGACAAGTTTTTGGTGTCATTGGAAAGAGCGTAACGTGAAGTTGTGCAGGAAACTTTCTTTTTAGGGAAATAATTAGAGAGTGAGGCCCTGGGGCCCTTTAAAGTTTCGTATTTCTCCATAAGGATAACATGGGAGATAATTTTTATTTACACAAACATATGTTTGTTACTTGAAAATAGTCAAAGTTTACTACATAATAATTGCTGTGTATTATGACTGTTAATGTATACTACATTTCAATCAAGGATTGTGTACCTTAAAGTTTACTCATAATGGATCTCACTACTTTATTTTAATGCTGGGAATAGTAAAATTTAGTTGAGAATAAGTTACCATGATTTAGAAAACCTTATTATAATAATTGATGTATTTAAAATCACAAATCTTTGACATTACTAATTCATTAGAAACGAAACAGCTGATCGTGAAATCAAATAAATCATCTATTTCATGTAAATAATGTTTTTACACAAACATAGTTTTTTTTAACCAATAACTTGATTCTTTTTTACTTGGGTGTATTTTGAGTTAGCAGTTTTGAAAGCACCAAGCCAAGTAACTTCTATCTAATTTTCTATGTAAACTAACAGTATTAATGAATTACTACATGAACTTGAAAAGTTAGGTAATTAATTGTCAGTATGCCAAGAGGAAGAAGAGTGAGTCCTCGAAAACAGACGAAGGCGGAGACACCCATCTAGAAATTCCAACTGAGTTTTTAAATATAGAGGTCAGTGGATTGCCAAGACACAGATTATACTAATAAAAGGGGGCAGTGGTTTTATTGATATTAATACATCAAAAAGGGCCTCACAAGGCTTCATGTGATCAGAACGGTTAACAACAATGTAAAGTAGAATGTAAAGTCCTAACTGGAACAAGTGAGTAGGGACATATTTTGATTTCGAGGATAAAAATTTGCCCGTCTGAAACAAACTTACCTTTTAAAATGGAAAGATGCTAATTTCGGTTATCTTTGGCATTTGCAGCACAAGAATACAGCTAAAAATGACTGGACTGCTTCCCTTCTATTATTACTGTATTTAATTTTCGACTTCGAGTCAATATATTTAACGCGATGAATTTGTTTTCTAAATTCATATGTTTTTTGCGGGGCATTGAGCCGCACAGGTTCACTAGTTATTTTATAATTTCCAAAAGCTGATCTGGTTTTTAGTGTATTCTACACATATTTCCCACTTATAGCCGCATTAGGTTGTCCATGTTGATCTTCGTCAATGATAATGTAGTCTGCAACTACCCATTGTCCGCCAGTACGTTTACAAATTTCAGTCATTTTTTATAGCGATAACATTTTGTTCACATTACTTAAGAACTGCCTGATTTTCTGCATAACCTCTCTATCACAATTGTATTTGCTTCAATTGGCAATAATTTGGCTAGTTATTGTTATAACGTAAGTTATATCATTGAGTATACACGTATACTCAATTATATACTTGTATACTTAATGGTTATATTTACCAGAAAAAAATGCAGAATTGAAAGGCCTAATGTTGTTCAGATGGTTTTTTGTTTCCCTTAAATGTGAATAATGCAAATCCTTCAATGAAAGTTTTATTGAGGTTTCTTGGATGTAGTCATATTATTTTAAAATCACTTGACTTTTATGAAAACATATTTAATGACCTTGTCGTAACAGTTTAATTCAGCCTTAGAGTGTTTTCCTTTGCCTATCATCATAAGGTTAAGTCCGTGTTTCCTACAAAATAGTAACACTTCGGCCAACATCCTTGTTAATTGTTTGTGTGAATCTTCATATTGTAGGCGTTCTTGATTATATAGGAGGTAAAATATATCAAATTGCCCAGGCTTTCTCGACTTTTTACATTTTAAATTAAAATAGTTAATATTTAATTTCAACAAAATCAGTAAATGTCCAATGCGTTTAGTTGAATTGAAAAATAAATACAGCAATTAAATTGTACAGCTGATCAAAATGTAAACAAGTATGTTCTTCACAAAGATAACATGGGAACTTTCAAAGCCACTAGGGCAAAGCCCAAGGGACTTTTTCAAAAATGTAAGACCAGTTTGCAAATCTACGCGACACGTTCTTTCCAATGAGACGTCAATGGATAAAATCGGTTAAAAAATGGCGGAGTAGTTCAACCGACATGTAGCGTATTAATTATATAGATGGTTTTTAGAACGCCATTCCTCTGTTTTCCCCTTGTAATCGATCCCTGCGCATATGTGTAAATTACCTTTCTTAGAATAACGTCTGTTTAAACAGCAGGGTTTGTCTTTGGTATTACCCGAGTAAAACGTAATATCCTCTTTAATTTCTTGATAAGCATTTTTTTAGATAATAAATAATGATGATTACTATATATATATATATATTAATAGGCAAGCATGTTTATTGGAAACCTTTTTTCTCAGCTCGTGTGCATCGCAGGAAAAATCTACGCATACTATTTGAAATATATTTGCCTGTAGATGTACCCTTTATAAATTAAAATAGGCTCAAAAATAAGCACAAAAAATGAATTTAAAATGTTAAAATAATTAACATTTGCCTTATGGGTTGCCATGCTGGTTACGTAATAACAACGAAATAAAAAATACCCCCGCCGCAGCAAACCTGCAGACTAAGCGAATTTCCATTTGCCTGATTGGATTTACACTAAAATGTCTCCTTAAAAATATCACATTTATTCCCATTTAAATAACATTAGTTTAACGAGTACTTAGGTTTGCTGCAAAAGGGAGGGTAAAAAGGTGTTTTTTTTTGTAAAATGTTAATAGTTTAGTATGAAATGAATGCATTTCCCAAATTTGATCAAAATATGATCATAAACAAGAAAACTACAACAGGTTACTTATTCTCCATAAAAATAACATGGGAATTTTAAATTTACAGTTTTTTGGAATTTTCTCCGTAACCATTAGGCGCATAATAACGCTTCAATATACTAAATTATTTGTTTTTTTAAGCTCTACAAAATGGTTTGAAGAGAAAATGCTAAATTTTAAGTTTTTAGGGTAAAAAATGGGAAAACCCAAATTTTGTCCCATAAAACCCCCCATAAACCCCTTTTCCCATAGTCCGATCATGCTGGTTCGCGAACTCGTTCGAATAAACGTAGGTTTACACGTTTGTACCAAATTTCATCAAAATCGGATGATTTTTGCTCGAGTTATCGCGCTAACGGACACACATATATATATATACTAGCTGACCCGGCGAACTTCGTATCGCCTAAGTTATAGGTTTCCCCTAAGACAGACCGACCCGGCAGACGTTGTCTTGCCTTTGACTATTTATAATTAAAGTACCGTTACGTTTAATTTTCAAGATGATCTCGTTCGCATCGCTCAATCACGTCCTGGTTGAAGTTCGTTCGCTACGCTCACTCACCTTTGGGTTGGAGCTCGTTCGCTACGCTCACTCACCTTTAGGTTGGAGCTCGTTCGCTGCGCTCACTTGCCTTCAGGTTAGCTCGTTCGCTACGCTAACTCGCCTCCAGGTTGAAGTTCGTTCGCTACGCTCACTCACCTTTTGGTTGCAAATTAGCTGTTGTCATAAATGTAAAAGAAATAATAGTGCTGCACCCTGTTGGTAATCCTTGTAACTTTAATGCTATTGAACATCATAGAACAGAACCAACTTGTTTAATTGAAACAGCTGTTAAGATTCATTAATTCCATTTCTCATAAGGTTAACATGGGAAACTCCAGAGCCACTGGGGCGGAGCCCTTTTAAGAATTTCGAAACGGGAAATAGTTTACGTCCAATTCGCATACCTACAGAATTTACACACCAAATTTCATAACGATCGGTGAAGTCGTTCCGGAGGAGTTTGCAGACAAACACTGTGACACGAGAATTTTATATATTAGATATATATATGTGTCCGTTAGTGATAACTCGAGCAAAAATTATCCGATTTTGATGAAATTTGGTATAAATGTGTAAACCTACATTTATTCGAACGAGTTTGCAAACCAGCATGATCGGACTATGGGAACAGGGGTTTATGGGGGGTTTTATGGGGTAAAAATGGGTTTTTCTAATTTTTCACTCTGAAAACATAAAATTTTGCAATTTCTTTCTAAACCATTTTGTAGAGCTCAAAAAAACAAATAATTTAGTATATTTAAGCATTGTTGCATGCCTAATGGTTACGCAAAAATCGCAAAGTAGTGTAAATTTAAAATTACCATGTTATTCTTATGGAGAATAAATACAGTGTTGTAGCTTGCTTGTCTATGGACATATTTTAATGAAATTTTGAAATTTTGTTTACTTCATACTAAGCTATTAATATTTCAATAAAAACCCCC